ATCAGGATCACAGATTTAGGAGAGTTGGAAGTACTCTCAAGATCATCTAATCCAGTTCCCCTTATTTTACACATAAAGAAATGAAACCCAGAAAAGTTAAATGACAAGTCCAAGGTTAGGCAAGTATTAAGAAGCTGAGCTAACTCTGATCCCAGGTCCTCTATTTTACCAAGCTTCCACCTAAAGCTCCTACCTCATTAACCATTGAGCATCTAACAAACAAGTATTAACTGATACAAAAGTCAGACTTTTGGGACACCCAGCATTTAGTCAGATGATGTGAGTTCACAGTCTGTGTGACCTTGGGTAAATCACTCAACTTCTCTTGACCTCAATTTCATCTGCAAAATGAAGAGGCCTGGACTAACCTAAGAGCCTTTTCAGTTCTAATATGCTAAGTCAGGGGTGGGGAACTTGTGGCCTTGAGGCCATATGCGGCCCTCTAGGTCCTGAAGTGTGGCCTTCTACGTCCTCAAGTTCAGCCCTTTGACTGTATCCCAACTTCATAATTCTGTCGCACTTTAGGACCTAGCAGGATACATGTGGGCTCAAGGCCCAAAGGTTCCCCACTCTTGTGCTAAATGATGGAAAAATAATTTTTATTACTTTGCAACTAGTAAAATAAATCTACAAGACTTGGCTTTCTTTTCTTTTGGAAGCAATCAGGGTTAAGTGACTTGCCTAGGATCACAGAGTTGGGAAATGTTTGAGGCTGGATTTGAACTGGGTTCTCCTGACTCCAGGGTCAGTATTCTATCCATTTAGACACCTAGCTGCCCCATGACTTAGCTTTCAATAAGAATGCAATACAAGTAAACTTGCCACGTCACACATTTGGCAGTTAACAGCTTTACCTAATAACAAGGCAGAAACCAAATAAAGGATAAGAGAAATTAAGTCTCAAAAAAATTCAAATGTGCATTCTTCTTTCTGTGACCTTGTTACAAAATGTCCCCAATTTCCAATGAATTTCCATGCAGATTAGTTAGCTCTCAACCAGTTTAGTAGTCAGATGTGACAAGTCACAAGTCTGAAATTTTGTTTGATCTTCCCATTCTAGGTAACCACTGAGAATTATCTAAGAAGAAGCCATCACCTCCCGCTTCCCCCTCTGCTGGTTGCCACGGGAGTGGATAGAGTGCTGGGCCTGGAGGAAGACTCATCTTCCTGAGTACAAATCTGTCTTCACACACTTATCAGCTATGTAACCCAGGCAAGTCACTCAACCAGTTTGCCTCAGTTTCCTCATCTCTAAAATGAGCTGGAGAAGGAAATGGCAAACTACTCCAGTATCTTTGCCAAGAAAACCCCAAATGGGGTCCACAAAGAGTGGGACATGACTAAAAAAGGAATAAACAACAACAAAGGTAATTTAAAACATGGTTCAAAATTTTCAAAATTTCCAAGTTTTTTTTTCTTTCAAAATAGATATATGTTTTTAAGGAAAAAACAAACAAACAATGCTGGTAACAAGAATGTTTATAACATTCTAGACTTGACTCCATAGGCTTGGTTTGTTGTTTTTTGTTGTTCAGTGGTGCCAATTACACAGCTAGTGTCTGAGACCAGATTTGAACTCAGGAAGATGACTCTTCCTGACTCCAGTCCCAGCACTCTATCCTCTGTGCCACCTAGCTGCCCTAGCTTGGTAAGCACTGGTATGTCAGCTTCTAAAATAAACATTCAATTCCCAAACAACTCAGGTGACAAGGAAAGCCAAAGATAAATCTGAATTATGGTTTGCAAAATGCACCTCCTCAAAGTTTCATATTAGAATATTCTATAATGGGCAGATAGTGGTAATGTAGTTCTTTTGCTTAATAATGATTACAAATGTAGTTCCAGGCTAGCACATAAGAAAGGCACAACACTAGGGTATTTAGTCTGGTATGATAGGGTTTAAGCTACAGCTTAGTAGACAACAATCTCCACCATTGCTATAGCTTTCCTATCATTAATTATAAGTATTTAATTCACTGGCTTCTTCTCTCCAACCCTATCTCTGCAACTTTTGGATCTGAAACAAAAAAAGTTGTGGCACCTCATCCATCATATAAGGAACTAAAGCAGCAGTGGGAGAATACAGGCACACCTTTAGCCTCTTGGCACCTAGCTAATTGAAGGCAGATGAACTGCCTAAGCTGGCTTTGCTTGCTTTGGTCAACCTCTATTCCCTTGAACATAAAGCACCTACCTCACAAGGTTGAGAAGATCAAATGAGACAATATTTGTAAAGTGCTTGGCACATAGTAGGTGCTTAATAAATGCTTATTTCCCTCTTAAACCCAAATCCAAGGCAATACCTGGAACTACATATTTATGAATTCCTTCTCAGTTCTGAACAATCAAAACATCTGTACTGTATTTACCAATCATGTAACTCAACTCTTTTGTACTGAACAAACATTTGTCAGTTTTATATGATATAAGTAGACAAATCCACAAAACCTTTACCACTACAAATATTTCTTGGAAGACTAAATTTGCATGTCTAGTTTTCTGAACCTAATGAAATTTAAAAAAAAAACCTTCTGATTTTCAAAAGTTAGTAAAATCTACATTCTTCCCCACCTCCCTGGGAGATCACTCTCTGCCCATTGCAGAGTTTTTAAAAGCAATTCCCTATTACTCTATAAAAGTAGCTACCCCCATCCACTGAAAAAACCTTTCTGCAGTTGAGATGTGTGAAAAATACCACAGAAATGAGTGAAGGCACAGACAGCTGCAAACGTACAGAATACTTCATCTAAAAAAAAAAAGGTAGAGTATATATCTCTACTCTGTCTCAACTCTAAGGGACTTCAGGAGGGTGGCCCTTAACGGCTTCCTCGTTTGTAAAGTTTACAACCACCTATAATAAACAAGAACTACCCCCCGGAAAACACCTCTTTCTTATATTCTACACTCTAGGATAAGTGCAGTAAGTTTGCAAAGAAGAAACTAATAAGACTTATTTCCTGTGTAAATCAAGTTGGGTGGCTAGAACGTGGTTAGCCAACATCTGAATGACAAACTAAGAAACCATGGGGAGGTGGAATAGAATTCTTCCCTGACTCTAACAGCAACTTAGGACTAAAGGGGCATAAAATCGTTTACTTGTTTTAATTTCCACACACACAACAAACAAAATACAAAATTAACCAACTTCTTAAAATCTATCTCTAGCATGAGGGACCTCCACACAGATTCAATTTTCTTTCACCAGTTTCTAACCGTAACTACCTGCCGTTCACTTTTTCAGGTAGCTTCTTCTAGATAGCTGGCCCGGCACTAAAATTAAAACGGATACCCTGTGATCGTTCAGTAGAGGGGGAAAGCAGAAGAAGGCTTTTCGGCATTTTCTGTTTTTGTTTTTAACAAGTGCCATCCTGTTCCTCTGCTCTGCTGAGGAACCACCAAAAAAAAAGGTAAGAAAGAGGGAAAAGGGAGGGAAGCTCCTTCAGTCCATGTCCCCCCGGATCCAGGTAAGACGGGACGCCTTCTCTCCCAATGCCAAAAAGATGTTGGCTATAAAGGGAAACGAATGGGATGCTCCCCACCTCCAAAAACAAAAAAAAATTGGGAGAATTTTTGCAGGACGGAAAGGGCTCGTGACTTCACCTCGATGCGTGATTAGATGTCATGGGGGTGGGGGTGGGAATCCCAGCGACGGCCCGGCAGACGGGGATGGGAGGGCATGGGGTTTCCTTCCCTCCTGCGCCCCGCGAGGGGGTGGGGTGCTGCCTGGTCCCTCGAGGGGGACGGAGAGACGGTGGTGGGGTCCTCGCGCTCTCCCCCCTACACCGCTCGGGCTGCGGCTACCCTGCCCCCTCCCCCCGGCCTCCCCGTTACCTGTGGGAGACGGTGACGACGACAGTGCTGGGGCCCGGCGGCCTGGTCCTCCACCTCCTCCTCCTACCCGCCCGACGGAAGCGGCGGCGGCGGCGGCAGCGACAGCCCCAGGGGGAGGGGGCGGAGCGCACGGTTGGCTCGCTCTCCCTCTCTCCTCCCCCGGGCGGCGGCGGAGGGGACCCTATCTCGGGCCGCCGCGCCTAGGCCCGTGGAGAGCCTGAGGCTCGGGCATGGCGGCGGCGGCCGAGCTGTCTCGGAGGTGGGCGGAAAGGCGGCGAGCGAGCCACCCCCTCACGACGGCGGCGGCGGCGGCGGCAGCAAGGGGCGGTGGGAGAGGGAGCAGGGGAGCGGCGCGCTCGCGCGGGCGGCCGTTGGGGGGCGGTTGGCGGTTGGGGGAGCGTGTAGGCAGCTCGCGTTCTCCCGGCGGGGTGGGGAGGGGGAAGGGGGGGGGAATGAGGGGAGGGGGAGGGGGAGGTTGGGGGGAGGGGGGAGGCGGTCGCGGCGCGTGCGGGGCCCGGGCGCCGCCGCCGCTGTCGCTGCTCCGCTCACTCCAGCCTGTTTGGGGGCACTTTGTTTGTGTCCCACAATGCCTTGCGCTGGAGACTGGGCCGGGGAAGAGTGGTAGAAGTGGAGGGGTTGGGAGGAGCCCGCTGGAGGGCGGGGCGGAGGGAGCGCGCAGGCGTACTCTTGGGTCCGCTCGCTCTCCGGGGCTGAAAGCTGGTCTGTAGTCGGCTTGAGCGTGGAGCTGCCCGCCTGTTCTCAGCAGCCAAGTACTGGGCTCGTGAGCCCGGAGTTAGACTGACTGGTTCTGACGCTTGCTAACTTTAGCATGACCTTGTGCAAGCTAGTTAACTTCTCCATGCCTCTGCCTCCTCACTGGTAAAATAGGGACAAACACGTGAAATGAACCTCGCAGCTTAGTCGTCTGGGAAGCACGCTTACAATTGCTCTATGTAGATGAACGTGTGTGTGCTTCCAGGTATTTACTGATGTGCACCCCGGGGAATGTATTTACACACATAAACATGCGCTAACTTGGCCCCACAACCGGGAGGGAGACCCGGTTTTTACTTTGTGATGTCCCAAGGAGGGATTTCCCGCGGCCAAATGCAAGCTTGACTTTCCATTACAAGCGAAAAGAAGCTATTTTCTACAGAGATATTTCTTACCGGTCTTTGGAGCTGCCAAGCGCGGTAGTCTTCCGCGCCCCTGCACGATTCTGGTGGTCTGAAGACCCAATCCACTTATTCGCATATCAAGTGCGTCTCGAGGTAGGGTGGTTGCACTGGAGTACGCCCGGAAGCCTTAGCACTTTGCTGGGGTGTCCTAGAGACGTCTACAGTACTGGGCTGCCTGAGTTCCTCGAACGTAGCTTTCGTTTTTTCTTGCTTGACATTGCTGTTAATTAGCAGGATGTGCTGCTCCCAAATAACAAAAGAGAAATTATACCTTTAATTTTTGTTTGCACTCCTCCAGATCCAGGGTCACATCCATTCTCCTATGAACTTATTCCCTGAGCCTGCCTTTGAATTAAAAACAAAAACAAACTATTCTGTAAGCTCATTAAGGGTAGGGACTTCCTACCTTCCTTTTCTCTCTCTCTCTGTCTGTCTGTCTGTCTGTCTCTCTCAGATTGTCAATAAATGCTTGTTAAACTGAATTGAATCTAGTTAGTTTAATAGCTCCCTTGAAATGAAGATAAACATTTTTCCCCCGACTTAAATCAGATGACAGTAAAAATTTGTTTTAAACATGTTTTAACTTTCCCCTGAACTGATACTGGAAAGGACACCTTAGTTTTAGAGTGGGGTGGGATTGGTGTTCTTTCCCTAAACTACAAATCTTTGGCTGCCATTGTTCAGGGAGAGGCCCAGGTGCTCTTCTGTACTGTCTACATCCTACTCTGAGTTTGGCTTCTCAAAAGGGCTTTGTGTCTGTGAATTGGTGTCTTTACCTTGAAAATATTTGGGTTGATTCTCCCACAGGTCATCTGATCTTAACTGCTCTAGGCATTTAGCAAATTTACCTGGGCAGTCTGGTGGATCCCAGATTTCTTCCCTCTCCATGCAGCTTTCCAGCCACTATTAATGGGGCAATGGGACCTGGACCCCTAAAAAGAATAAGACCATATCTTTGAAAGCAACCCAGTCTCTGAATTTTCATATACATTTCAGCAACCCAGATCACTGGTGCCTCTGGCCCAGGCAACTGGCCCACCCCAGCTCACTTCCACCACCTAATTAGCTTACTTAACATTTCTTTCATTGTTGTTCTTATCTTGCCCCAGACTACAAACAAATATCGATCATTCTTTATTTCCATCTTGATCATCTAATTAGCTTACTTGATGTCCTTTCACAATTGCATCTGGCCCACCCCAGACTACTTACCACTGCTGAATCCCATCCAGATCCTTTCACTGTCCTTTTTGTATATAAATATCAGTCTCATCTGTTAAGTTACAGGTTCAGTAGGCATTTACTTCTATTGACATTTACAATAAACTACCCTTGACTGGAAGAAGATTTGAGTGTGTAAATTCATTCCAGGCGAATGCTGCCCTGTACCCTGACATTTTGAGGTTCCCAGCAACCCCAAACCACATCCCTATTATCCTGGGCAATTTTTTCCCATAAATTCTCCAAAGAAGATATCTCAGCAACCTGAGATACTTCCTCTGGTTCTTTTTAATATCACAGCCTGTCCATCTGTTGTCTTCTCAATAATCCTCCTTTGGAAGAGGAAGTGTGCCTCAGCAATGTTGCCTACTTTTACCAGTCCTTAATATTTACCACTTCCTTTTCCCACAGAATGACTAAACTAGAAGGTGCTGTGATATAATTTACCTAGATTGTAGGAAAACTTTTCATGAAGTATCTTATATTGTTCTTGTGGAGAAGAAGAGAAATATACAATCTTATGGATTCAGAACCGGTTGGATGGTCAGGACTAAAAGAGTAGTTAGTAGTAGTTCAGTTGCCTGGGTCAAAGGTCTCCAGTGAAATATCCCAGGGATCTATGCTTACCTCTGTGCTATTTAATATTTTTATCAGTAATTTAAAGACTTAGATGGTATGCACTTCAAATATGTAGAAGACACCATTAGATTGTAAACTCCTTGAGGGTAGGAAATGCCTTTTGCCTCTTTTTGTATCTCCAGTGCTTAACACAAAGCTAGAAGGGATAGCTAACGAACACAAGGAATGACAGTCAGGATCCAGAATGATCTTGATTCTATATCTTTGGGCTGAATCTAATAAGATGAAATTCTGTAGGCACAAATATAAAGCCATGCACTTGGACAAAAAAAAAACTTCACAAGTATAAGATGGTAAGATAGAAGTTCTAGAAAAAACAAAAAACAAAAAAAAACAAACCTAAGGGTTTCAGTGCACTGAAGCTCAGAGTACTAGTCATCAGTGTGATGCAGCAACCAAGATAGTTAATATAATCTTGGGTGGCATTAAGGGGAACATAGTTTCTAGGAATAAGGAGATGATAAGTTCCTCTCTGTATTCTATCCTTGTCAGACCTCATCTGGAGTATTATGTTCCTGGGTGCCACAATTAAATAAAGACACAAGTGAATAAGCAGGAGGGAGCACCAGGGTGGTAAAGGGCCTTGAGTTCACATCACATAAGGAAAGGGGATGTTTAGCCTGGAGAAGATCTAGGGTGGACAAGATAGTTACTTCCTGTATTTAAAGGACTTACCCTGTGTAGGAGGCATTAAAGTGTTCTGTTTGGCCTCGGGGGCTGTACCAGGAGCACTGGGGTGGAAATTAAAGCTGATCAGTTAAAGATGGATGTCTAGAGCCGTCCAAAAGGCAGTGGATTTTGTGTTCTTGGAGGTCTTCAAGAAGATGTAAGACCGCTCCTTGTTGGGTGTGTTACAATGGGGATTCCTTTCATTTATATTAGATTAGATTAGATGGACACCGAGGTCCCTTTCAACTCTAGGATTTGTGCCTATGTGATATTGAGTGCTTTCTTTTATCACTCTACTCTTGGTAGTCTCATCAATTCAATGACCAACTCTGTGAGTAGAGAGATTGGCAGGTGACTCAAATCTTTGCATCAGATCTTCATGCCAGTATCTCAGACTCAGCATGTACAAAATAAAAGATGAGCTGTGTGACCAACCTTTCTTTTTTTCCCCATCATATATTTCTCTAAGCACATTCTTTATGCTCCTTGATCTGAGTAATTCCTGTTTTGTGATGTGTTACTGACTGCTCAAGACCCCCTCCCTTGAGTCTCAATCCAGAAGAATATCAATTTATAAGTATTTATTAAGCGTTTAATATGCCAGGTACTGTGCTAAGTGTTGGAATATAAAGAAAGGTAAAGAACATTCACTTGACTCCCTCCAGAAACTTACATTTTAATTGAGGAGGCAATGTGTGAATAAATATGTGCAAACCAGACACGTTATAAAGTAGATGGAAAGGAACATTACATGATAAGAAAGGTGCCTAGTAAAATGTTGAATTTAAATTAGTTGACTTTGTAGACATTAGGCTGTGAGAGAGCATATTAATACAAAATGCAAAATGTATTCCTTGTACTTAAAAACATCATAGTCTGTTCATCTATTTTTGCCTGTGAGTCCACAGTACAATAGTAAGCACTTAATTGATGCTTATTTTTAAAAATTTTATTTTTATTGGAAAGAAATGTCAAATAAAATGAGTGTTTCCATATAGATAGTAGAACAGAAAAAGAGGATTGTACATAAAACTGCAGATCTCTATTATGTGCAATTTGCTTTAAATTTTAAGTTGTGAGAGAAACATGATAAAGGGTTAACAATATTCATAATACTTTCGGAGACATACTGAAAACATTTTGGGGGAATGAAGTACATCTTTGGAAGGACATTGTGTATAAATTCCTATTACTCTGCAGGTGATGTACAAGTTTCCACTATTCTTCAAGCTTCAGTGGTGTTATATACAAATTCTTATTATTCTCTGTGTTATGAATGATATTGCCAATAAATTCCTCTGATTCTACAAGCTTTATTTAGAATAGTATAAGGTAAATGAATAGTCTTGACTAGGTAAAATCTGTTATACTGTGTCTCCTTTGTAGTCTTAAGCAGATTACCTATATGTGTATATATGTATTCTGGAAGTTCCTATTTTCCTCTAAACTCAATTATTTTATTTTATCATTATTATTATTATTTTTGGTGAGGTAATTGGGGTTAAGTGACTTGCCCCCAGTCTCATGGATAGTAAGTGTTATATGTCTGAGGTCATATTTGAACTCAGGTCCTCCTGACTCCAAGGCTGGTATTCTATCCACTGTGCCATCTAGCTGCCCCTAAACTCTATTATTTTAAAGGATTATCTCCACATTAATTTCAACCTGACAAGATATTATAAATCCAACCTATAGCTTTCAAATTTGTCCTGCTTGTCTATGCTTCTTTCTGATGTTATATCTATTCTCTTCTCTGCATTCTAAAAATGGATACCTCAATAACTCTCTTTCTTTTCTTTTTTTTCTCAGCAGCCATCAGTATTGAGGCAAGACCTTCCACCAGCAAAAAGATTATGACTTGATGAAGGCTTAGATGATGGTTAGCATTTATTAGGAGTAAAGTATTTTTTTAATGAAAGTATATACTTTTTTAGCTATTGTTTAACTATTGTTGCGCACTTAATAGAATACTGTGTGGTATAAACATAACTTTCATATACACTGGGAAACCAAAAAATTCATATGACTTGCTTTATTGAGATATTTACTTATTGTGGTGGTCTGGAACCCAACCTGCAATATCTCTGAGGTATGCCTGTACAATATTGTTATTCTATAAATTGTTCTCCTAGTTCTGTTCACATCATTTTATGTCAGTTCATGTAAGTCTCCTTATGTTTGAAATCTGAAATGATCCCTTTCATCATGTTTTACAGCACAGTAGTATCCCATTACATTTATATACCATGGTATTTTTAGACATTCCCCAATTGATGGCTACCCCCTTAATTTCCAGTTCTTTACAAGCATAAAAAGAACTGCTACAAATATTTTTTATACACAGGTATTTTTTTCCTCTTTTTTTTAACTTATTTGAGATATATGCCTAGTAATATATTGTTTGGTCAAAGGGTATGCACATTTTGGTAAATTTTGGAGTATAACTTCAAATTACTTTGCAGAATGGTTGGACCAATTCACAACAATGTATTAATGTGCCTGTTTTCCTTACGCTCTTCCAACATTTATTATTTTCTGTTTTTTGTCCACTTTGCAAATCTGATGAGTGTGAGGTAGATCCTCAGAGTTGCTTTAATTTTTATTTTTCTAATTCTTAGTGATTTGGAAAATTTTTTCATATGGTTACTGATAGCTTTGATTTTTTTCTTAGAAAACTACCTGTCCATTTCTTTTGCTAATTTATCAATTGAGGGATGGCTTTTATTCTTATAAATTTGAATCAGTTATGTATAAATCATGGAAATGAGAAACTTTTTCCCCCCTTCCAGTTACTTGTTTTCCTTCTAATTTGGACTACTTTGGTTTTGTTTGTGCAAAAAATTTAAATTTTGTATGTCCAAAATTATCTATTTTGTCCTGATTCTTTCTACCCCTTATTTACTCACAAATTCTTCCCATATCCAACAGTCTGAAAGGTAATTTCTTCCTTACTCCTCAAATTTTTTTTAATGTTTCCTTTATGACAAAGTCACATATCCATTTGGAGCTAATCTTGCTACATTGTGTGAGATGGTGGTCTCTACTTCATTTCTGCCAGAATGTTTTCCAGTTTTTTCAGTAATTTTTGTCAAATCGTGGATTCCAGCCCAAGTAGCCAGGGTCTTTGCTGCCAGTTTTATTTGCTTTGGTATGTTGTATGCCTAATCTGTTCAAGATTATAGACAGATAATAGATCAAGCTCTATTTTTTAGCCAATACAAAATAATTATGAAGATTACTGCTTTGTAATATAATTTGAGATCTGATACTTGTAGGTCTTTTTTTCCACTTTTTTTTCCCATTATTTCCCTTGATATTCTTGACCTTTTGTTCCTCCAAGTGAATTTCATTATTATTTTTGCCACCTCCGTAAAATGGATCTTTGCTAGTTTGATTGGTATGACACTGAATAAGTAAATTAATTTAAGTAGTATTGCTATTTTTGTTATGTTGGTATGTTGTCTCATAGTCATTTTCTTTGATGAAATTTTTTAGTGTTTCTATAATTTATTCTTTGACTTAGCAATTCTTTAGTATTAAGCTATTTACTCCTTAATTAAATTTCAATTCATTTTTCAAAGGCCCATTATTAAGGATATTTTTTATTGCGTTGTGGTCAGTACAAGATATGTTTAATATTTATGCTTTCCTGCATTTATTTATGAAGTTTTTATACCTCACAAATATATATGGGCAGTTTTTGCAAAGGTATCATGCATGACTGAGAAATATGTAAACTTCTTTCTATTTAGTGATCCCTAGAGATTTATCATCTCTAATTTTAAAAAAGTTCTATTTAGGTCCCTACCTTTTTTGTTATTAGATATGTGTGAGTCTGAAAGACATGCCTAGAAGTCTTCTACTGTTATAGTTTAACTGACTATTTCTTCTTGAAATCTGATTCATTTTTCTTTTAAGTATTTAGATGCTATGCTTTTTAGTACATACATATAAAATATTGATGTTGATTTATATCTATGGCAAGGGTGTTAAACACATGGCCCTCAGGCTGCATGGGGTCTACAATACTCCTAAGTATAGCCCAAACCAGATTAAAATGTAATTGAGAAATATTTAACAAAATAAATAAAAATGAAAATACATTAAAACATAGATAATAATTACATTTAAAAACTAAATCAATATGTAGCCTACAGGGATCTTCAAAGCATGGATTAGTGTCCTCAGTTTCTATTTGAGTTTGATACCACTGATCTATGATGCCTTGAAACATAATGTGGTTTTGATGAGGATGGGGTCTAGAACCCAAAAAGGAAAAACCCTGGACTTTTCCAAGTGGCCAAATCTCTGGCATTCCCCTGAGGCTATAATCCTTCAACTGGCCTTTCATTGTGGCTACACCCAATCTCCCAATTCTCTGTTACCCTTAACCTACCTAGAGCTCCCTATGTCCCCCAGCCACTTCCCACCCTTAATCCTATCTAGGCTCCATTCTCCTTTGACCACCCCTGGAGTTCTATTACCTCATAGACTACTTGGCCACTTCTAGATCCCTCCCCTAGTCTTTCTGTATATAAGGTCCATCTTGTCTCCATTAAAATCCTCAGATTCCTAAAATCTAGCCAATAGCTCACTAATGTTCTTAAGAGTCTGCCTAAAATGATGGATGTTCTAATAAACCTTGTCTTTGACTGAAAGAAGGCTTGTGTCGAATTTTTTTGGGCAGGACCTGCGTATTGTGATTTTGGGGTCCCAGCACTCCTGAACCTCAATGGTTTCCCTGCTTATCAGTTTTTATCATGACTTCCTTTACTGTAGCCTTGCCTAAAATCATAATTTGCTGCCCCTGACTTTTTGAGTTCACCTGAAACATAATGGATTCTTCTTTAGCCCTTCATTTTTAACCCTACATAAATCTTTATATTTCAAATTTGTTTCTAAGTATGATATTGTAAGATTCTGCTTTCTAATCCCTTATGATATCCTGTTCTTTTTATGAGTGAGTTCATCCCATTCACATTTACAATTATGATCTTTAATTGTGTATTTCCCTCCATTCTGTGAAAGTCATGAAAGAGGAGATTATAGTCTTCTCTCAGGACACATGCTGAGCCCAGCAGAAGGTGGAAGGCACAGGACCCTCTCCTGCCCTGCAGTCTGAGGTCATCTCACCTGAGGAAGAGACTGGTTATAAGGCAACTACAGGAAGTGAAAACAGTTCACCTCGCCTCTTGAAGCCTTCCCTCAGGGCACAGAATCACTATACCTAGCCAGAGATGGAAGGCACAAAGCCCTCCCGAGTGATCTAAGGTCTTCTCACCAGGGAGGCGGCATGCAGAAGGCAACTGTCATTTACATCTTTGTAAGAGACCCTGATGGGTGTAAATAGCCCATTTCATGTTACTAAGGATAACTTGAAAGCAGGAAGCTCCCCTTCACTGATTCCTAGTTGTTGACTATATTTACTGTATACAGACCACATCTCTCCAGTAGAACTTTAGTTCCCCGGAGGTTGAGGACAACTTTTTTTTGGGTTTGGCTTTGGGACCCCAGCACTTAGGGCCGTACCTTCTTGGATTTAGTTGGATCAAGGAAATATCTAATTAATGAAAAGGAGTTGTAGGTTACTCATGTATCTAGAGTGAGGGATAACTGACAGGCAGCCTATATATTGTACTCCCCACCCATGAAACATAAAGAAATCCAGAGGAGGGCCTCTGGAGAGATAGGATGAAACTTGCATAGGATGAGTTTTAATCTATATCAATGATGGGAATATCTATATTGATAAGTGCATGGATCCTTAGACTCTTAAGGAGTCTGAACATTAGTGAGCTATTGGCTTGATTTTAAGAATCTGAGCATTAGCTAGATTGTAAGAATCTGAGCAGTGGGATTAAGGGTGGGAAGTGGCCTGGGGCCATAGGGAGGTAAAACAATGGAGGGCTAGGATAAGTTAAGGGTAACAAAGAGTTGGGAGGTTGGGTGAAGGCAATAACAAAAGGCCAGTTGATGAGATTATAGCCTCAGACCCCCAGCCAGAGATTTGACCACAAGGGAAAGTCCAGGGTTTTTCCTTTTTGAAGTCTAGATCCCATCCTTATTATGTTCTCAGTAAATATTTGTTGAAGTGAATTTAATTGAATTGTAGGGGCAGCTAGGTGGCAGTGGGTAGAGTGATAGAATTAGAGTCAGGAAGACCTGAGTTCAAATCCTTCCCAAGACACTTATTAGCTGTGTAATCCTGGCAGGTCACTTAACCTCTTTCCATTTTGATTTCTTCACTTTTAATATGCAGTAAAGCACTATACAAATGCTACTTATTATTTATATGCATTGTACTGTGCTAATTGAAATGCAGACAAAATTTCTTTACTCCCAGAGATTTTACAATTCAAGACTGATAACAGTGACCCCGAATAAAAATAAAGGTAAAATGAGTAGTTCTCTCTTCCTCCCCTCCCGGCTTTTTCTTTCTTAATTATCCTTTTACTACATTCTTTCTTTTCTTCCCATTGCAATTTTAAAGTACGCATTTCCTATTTATCTCCCTTACCCTTTAGTCCGGTCTTCCTATTCTCTACTTCTAACTTAGTCAAGCAATCAACCAATATTTGTTGGGCCCTTAATATGTGCAAAGCACCGTAGCCTGGGGGATATAACGACAAATGACTGTGAGCCTTGAGCTTGTCTTGTTTGTACTTGGCATGGGGCAGGGTAAGTTTCTTTCATTTCTCCTGCCTCAACTCTTCCTTCACAGACTAGTTGTGACCTGTCTTTGGGCCATTACAATACATATGCCTTTCTTTGCCAGGCACTTAACTATCTGTACCCAAAGGCTTTTGTGTCACTATAATCCAATACATAGGTAAAATAAGCAAATGTTCCCATAGCGACTCTATGATGGAAACTTTAATTATTAACTCAGTGGGGATGATTCCAAGGGTAATTCAGATTGTAGGCAGGAAGTTTTGTTTCAGCTTTAGAACAGGAACAAGATAAAATTGTTCGGCAGACAAAATTTAAGCAGAAAAGGCAAGGAGCTATAGAAAAAAACCGTACATTTTGATTAGGGACAACATTAATAGTAAAGCTCATATTTCTTTAATACTTCCCTCAAAACAACCTTGTGAAGTGTGAGTAGTTGAAATATATCTGTTTTATAAATGAGGAAACTGAGGATCAGAGAAGTGGGACTTACCTAGGGCCACACAGCTAGTGTCAGAGGTATGTTTCAATTCAAGTCTAGCTTAATTTTCAGGTCTGGTGTACTTTCTCCTATTTTTTTAGTTGTTTTTCAGTCATGTCTTGGCAATGATACTGGAGTGGTTTGACATTTCCTTCTCCAGCTCATTTTTACAGATGAGAAAGTTGAAGCAAACAGGGTTAAGTGACTTGCCCAGGGTCACACAGCTATTTGAACTCAGAAAGATGAGTCTTCCTAACTCCAGGCCCTGTACTCTAGCCACTGTGCCACCTAGCTGCCTTACTCATCTGGTCTAACTCCCGAAGACAAAGGAGACTGAAATTCAAAGAAGTTAAATGGTGTTCCCCAATGGAAAATCTGATCATCTTGCAGATCCTTATCAGTGCTCTCTGACGCTCTGATTGGAAGGTGGAGCCATAAACTCCTGTACCTCCATTTAAGGAAGGGGGCAAGACCACATCTCATTTTCACTTGGCTGCTGGAAGCAGCCTTGGCTTCTCTGGCTTCACGGTTTTTGAATTCCCTCTCCCCCCTCCCCTTTTGCATCCCAAGCACAATGCTTGGCACATAGTGGGTGCTTAATAGATGTTTATTGATGATTATCATTATTGATTGTACTCAAAGTCATATCAATCAATTATCATTAAGTGCCTTACACAGGTAATAAGGATATAGCAGAGTCTGAATTTGAACTCAGGTTCTTTTATTCCAAATTCAGTCCTCTTTCCACTACGCTACTGAGGAATGCCTGGAAACTTACCTTGCATTGATATATCTCCCCCACTCGTTATCATTCACTCATTGTGTCTGAAATTCCTCCATCAGAAACTCATTCTTTAATTTTGGAAAGCTTTTCCAGTGCATGAGTCCCCACTGAAATACAAATGCACCTAGGAAGCAGGAGACATTCAGTCAATCAATTAGTAAGTGTTCATTATATGTGCTAGGCAGTAGGCTAGGCATTGGAGATACAAAGACATAAGTGACCCACCCTACCTTCAAGAAGCCTGTGTTGTTTTGGTGCCTAATATGTTCATATGTGAGACAATATGTTCATATATAAGTATATAAAATGGAGAGAAGGTGGGTTGTTTTTTTTAATTTTTGAGGAAGATACAGCAACTATGATAATATCTAAAGTCTTCCTGAAGAAAGTGTTTTTTGAGCTGAATCTTGAAGGAAACTAGGTATTCTAAGAGGTAGAGGTGAAAAGGGAATGCATACCAGGGTTGGGAATAACTTGTGAAAAACTACAGAGGTAGGTGATGGAGGGTCACGTGTGAGGAATAATAAGACCAGTTTAGGTAGACCCTAAACTAGTCCAATTTGTCTGGACCATTCATCATTATCAGCTAATACCCAGCGGAAAAGAGAAAAAGAAGGGACTGATTGTGGTAAGAAGGGACCAGTTCCTGGGTGACAGAAAGTTCCAAGGACAATTTCTGCTATTTTGCCCATGGATAGCTGCCTAAGAGACACCTTTGCTGATTCTCTTAGTGCTTCTGACCTCCCCAACTTACACTATATGTCCTTACTGTGTACACGCTGTATTTCTCTAGTAGATGTAAGTTCTTTTGAAGGGAAGAGACAGGAATAAGCATTTAAAGAGTGCCTACAATGTGCCAGGCACTGTGCTGAGCACTCTATAGATATTACTTTGTTTGATCCTCACAACAACACTATGAGGTAGGTGCTATTAATAAAGATTTGTTGAGTTGGGTTGGTTCAAGGAAAACTTTCTGAAAAAGGAAGTATGGTACTTGTGTATCTAGAAAGAAATAACAAGATATTTTTTGCCTACACACTAAGGCAGAAACTTTACTGAGAAGCTGTAAGCTCTCTCAATTTCCCTCTTCCTCACCCCGAAATGTCTCTCTTTACCCCTTCACTTATCCTCCTTTCCTCCAATGACAGGGGAAGATGTCCAGTGCTTTCCACTTTCGTCCTTGGTTTGATTTTTCTTTTCTAGGAACTTACTCCATCCATCATTCCTTTTTCCTCTTGCATTGTTTATTTATACCTCTCATTTAGTTATCATACTCTATTTTGTGTTATGAGAAGCAGTATTATATTTATTGTGTATATCACCACTTCTACTAGATTATAGGTTTCTTGAGGGAATATATAACCAGTAATTTACTCATCTTTGTAAACCCTCTAGTGTTTAGCATAATGCATTGCTCACAGTAGGCACTTAAATGCATATCGTCTGAATACTGAATCAATTAATTTAATTAAGCAAGCAGCAAGCATTTATTAAGCACCTATTATGTGGTAAGCACTGTGCTGGGCACTGAAGTTATAAAGACCAAAAAACCTCCCAAAAAAACAAAACCCAAAAAACCAGTTCCTGCCCTCCAAGAATTTCTATTCATTTAGATTATTGAAAGGAAGCCATATTTACATCCATTTCAAATAAGGTATCAGAAGATCTGGAGTCTAAATATGAGGTTAGTTGTGGGAGTAAATTACCAACTGAGCATCTTTTATTGAGGTTCTGAGAGGGAATGCCATAAGTCAACTAGACCCTTAACTTTCCCTTTTCTTCAGATGATCTGACCCAGTACCTTAGGGACTCTCTAGATGGAGCCAAACTTTCCAGAATAATGAATCCATGTCATTAGTGGTAGGAGAGAGAAAAGTCTACTTTATATTGTAAGAAGAAATCGTTAATCCAAGAATAAGAAGAAATAAGGAGTAAAAGTAGACCAGATTAATGAATTTCTTTAGCAATAGGAAGGACAATGAGCATTAGGCAATAATTAACATTAATTTATTGATTCATCAAATAATTTTCAAGCACCTGCCATTTAAATGAAATTTGCCGAACCCGACCTTTGATTGGGAATTGGGTGACATGAACATGACATGAACAAAGACATGAGCAAAGATTGTACAGAAAGATAAAGTGTGGAAGGATTATGATCTGCATTGCTGAAGGGAATATACATATCAGTGAGATTGAGGATTCATCCAAATATCAACATATATACACAGCATGAGAGTCACTGAAGGAATGACCAGGGTAAATAAGACACAGTCCTGCTTTTGGGGTGCCTGTAGTCTAGTAGTTAGATAACATATGTACTTAAGTATATAACTAACAATAGTTGACCTTTATATTGCATGTTATAATTTAAAGCACTTTCATACACATAATTGTATTTGATCTTTTAAAAAATTTTTTCTTTTTTTTTTATTATGAACTTAACAAGCAACAATCAAGGACATTTTATAGGGATCGTGTCCTTCCTTGTATTTACCTCTTTGGTTCCTAGCAATGTGCCTTGCTCATAGTAGATTATAAATTAAATTATGAATCTCTAATGTGGACAGCTTTCTTTTTAAGTATGTATTCAGTTCAATAACATAGTGCTAACATGGCCTTTACATGTTTGTTTCCCCTTCTGAACTGCTTTTTGATTTTTTTTTTTGTATTTCAAAAGTATTTCATTGACACTTTTCTCCTTTGTAAAAATGTCATTATTACTACTTCCCTGCCCAAATAAAAGCCCTCCCTATAACAAATGAGTATAATCAAACTAAATCAATTAACTTATTTGATCTTGACAGCAGCTATTCAAAGTAGGTACTACAAGTATTATCATTCCCATTTTACAGTTGAGGAAACCAAGGCATAGAAGGGAAGTGATTTTCCCAAGATTGCAAAATAAATAGAAGAGTTTCACTTTATAGCCATGTCTTCTAGCTTCAAGGACAGCTAGATGGTAAAGTAGATACAGCACCAGGTCTGGAGTCAGAAAGACCTGAATTCAAATCCAGCCTCAGACACTTACTAGCTGTGGGCACCTGCTTGACCCTGTTTGCCTCAGTTATCTCATCTGTCAAATGAACTGGAGAAGAAAATGGCAAACCACTCTGGTATCATTGCCAAGAAAATCCCAAAAAGGGTCACAAAGAGTTGGACGTGGCTGAAACAATGTAACAACAGCAACTTCTAGCTTCAAGTACAGTACATGTTCCACTATACCCTGAAACAAAAATTGAATATTACACTTCATAAAAGGCAAAAATAAAGGGTTGAAGAAGGAGAAATAATTTCTAAAAAGAGCTGAGAAAAATAGCTCTAGACCCAAGAATTCTTTTCTCTGCTATAAAATGAAACCAATTAGGAAAGCCTATTCTTTTCATTGTGGCCATGTTGAACCACGAGTCCACAGAGCTAACAGGGCTAAGTTTATGGTAGGCAGAGAGGAGTGTGATGCTTGAGAAAGAACAATGGACTTTGAGTCAGAAGATCTGAAGTCGATCTATGAATTTTATTTGGTATCACTATCTGTGTGACCTTGATCAAGTCTCTTAACCTTTCTTTCCTCATTTGAAAATTCAACTCAATTTAATAAACATTAAGTGCCTACTATGTGCTGGGCACTGTGATAAGTTTTGGAGATACAGAAAGAAGCAAAAGACAGTCACTGCTCTCATGGAGCTTACAATCTAATGGGGGAGGCAGCATACCAACAAATATATATAAAGCAAGCTATGTACAGGATAAATAAGAAATAATTAAAAGGGGGGAAAGCACTGGCATTAAGAGGGGTTAGAGAAGGCTTCCTGTAGAAGGTGGGATTTTGCTTAGGACTTAAAAGAAGCTGGGGAGATCAGTAGTCCAAGTGGAGCAGGGAGAGAGTTTCAGGTATGGGGGGATGCCAGAAAGAATGCTAGGAGCAAAGAGATAGGGTGTCTTATTTGTGGAGTAGCCAGGAGGCTAGTATCACTGGATGGAGGAGTATGTGTTGGGGAGTAAGGTGTTAGAGGACTGGACAGGTAGGAGGGCGCTAGGATATTTATGAAGGTCTTTGAATGCCAAACAAGGCATTTTGTATTTGCTCTTGGAGGCAATAGGGAGCCACTGGAGTTTATTGAATAGGAGGGTGACATGGTTAGACCTGCATTTTAGGAAAATCACCATGGCAGCAGAATGGAAGATGGATTGGCATGGGGAGAGACTTGAGGCAGGCAGATCCACCAGTAGTGGGTCTATGTGCCAGGCTATTGCAGTAATCAAGGTATGAGGTGATGAAGGCCTGTACTGGAGTGGTGGCAATGTCAGAGGGAAGGCTTTTAATAAATGAGAGCTCCTCCCAGATCCGCCAATTAAGAAGGGCACTGAAGACAGTTATCTCATCATTTCCCAACTGAATGCTCTCCTGGACTTGTTATGATCTCCAGAAACCCATCATCCTGCAAGATCACATCAACTCTGAAACTCACACCTTGGTATCCTCTGCCCCTAGTGCCCCTCCCTCCTGCTGATTGGACAGGGTGGTAAATGGGCATCTTTCCATTAGACTGTAGGACTTCATCATGTCCCTGTCTGCTACCCTCCCTTTCGCTCCTTTTTTTTTGGTTTCTTTTTATGTGTTATCTTCTCCCATTAGATTTTAGGCTCCTTGAGGGCAGGGACTATCTTTTGCCATTCTTTGTATCACCAGTGCTTAGCACAGTGCCTGGTACATAGTAGGTATTTAATAACTGTTTATTGACTGACTAAATGTGTCATTGGTTGGACATGTATATGAAAAGTACTTATAACTTACCCTCAAACCTTGTCATTTTATCTGCCTAAATTATTATATTCCTTTGCAACTGGGGAAATGGTGATTTGGGGAGAGATTGACAAAGCAATTTCCAATAATCTTGTCATGCAAGAGAAACTGATTGCCCTTCTTTTCTTCTGTCACCAGGAGTATCAGGAAGTGCTAATATAGCCTTCCATTTCCTTGATTTTTTTTTTTGTGATGTGACTTTCTTTAAAGAGTATTATTTGAAATTTATTGTGGCATATGGTATGAGATATTAGTCTAACCTGCAACCCCTCCCCCCCTTATTTTTGGATCTACTTTCTAGCTTGTGACAGGTAAGGAGC